GGGTATAGGATATAAAAGTCCACCTTCTATATTACAATATATTAATTTAACTATATGTCATATATAATGTTAATTTAAATGGTTTTTTTTTTTCACTTAAACACTTCATGATGTCAAAGAAAAAGGTTTAAAGTTAAATGCACATTGCTGGGCGTGGTGGTACATGCCTTCTGTATACCCTTTGATCTCTGAGTTCAAGGCCAGCCTAATCTACAGAGCAAGTTCCAGGACAGACAGAGGTAACCTGTCTTGAAAATCCACAACCCCCCTCTCCAAAAGAAAGAAAGAGAGGAAGAGAGGGAGGGAGGGAGGGAGGGAGAAAGGAAGGAAGGAAGGAAGGAAGGAAGGAAGGAAGGAAGGAAGGAAGGAAGGAAGGAAGGAAGGAAAAGATGTAAATACATGTCTCTTTGTCTAACATAGGATGAAGCCTTGTTAAGGTTTTATGTAACTTGAGTACTGATGCAGGGACTCAGGGAGCAAAGATGCCCCACAGCATTTGAATGAATGGTTGCCTACAGAGCATGAATGTCAGAGAGGTGCTGCTAGATTAGGCATCCAGTGAATTAACATCCCACAGGGCAACACAATCACAGCTCATCCTTCCTGTTCAGTGTAATCATTCTCCTCTCTCCACAAACACAAAATCTGTAAGCCGGCCCACAGCTTCTTCCCGGTTTGTTATTAAAAGAGCGTGGGCTAGGCCTGTTAAATAACACATCATTACTACAATGAACAGGTTTTTTGCCTTATTTTTATGTTAAGGATAATCATTCTTAGCAATAAAAAAGTTCCTTTTTTTTTTTTTTTTCTAATCAAAACCCTTCCCATGAACCTTGGGTCACTGGGTAGGAGATTCAGGAAGCAGATGAAGGCTGGTACCTTCCTACTCTCTCCTTTGTATTCATCCTGAGTTGGCAGCCCACATTCCCTAAACATGAGGATTCACCTCTGCTAAGCCTCCCTAGAAATACCCTCACAGATATATATCCAGAAGGTTGTCTCCTAGGTAATTTTAAAACTTGTCAAGCTGACAGTCATTTAACAAACATTTCCAGAACCTGACATCTTTTGTCCTCCTGAGTTTTCTCAGACACAGTATTCCTGAAACCTTTGCAAAGAGGATATATAGATTCTATCGATACAGAATGTACAGATATAAACATTATGGAAATGTGCACGGTTAAGTAGGTAGGTGTAAGTTCCAAAACACTAATAATGATGTGATCCATAGCTCCCAGAGAAGCAAAAGGAAGATGGATTACAAAAGTAGATATAATCCCAGCACTCAGGAGGCAAAGGTGCATCTCTGAGTTTTAAGTCCATCCTGGTCTACAAAGTGAGTTCCAGGCCAGCCAGGACTACACAGTGAGACCTTGTCTTTTAAAATAAATGTAATAATCCAACAGATGGCCAAGAAAATTAAAAAGAAACACAGAACGGGAATAGCAGAAATAATTTTGACTATATAGTTCACAATAAATAGAGAGAGATTTATTCTCCTACTAAAAGGCCTGTTCTAGTGGTATGTCTTTAATCCCAGCACTCAGGATGCAGAGGCAGATGGACCCCTGTTAGTTCAAGGCCAGCACGGACTAAATAGGGAGACCCTGTTTCAGAAACAAAAAACTCAAAACAACAACACAAAAACAAACCAAGCAAAACAAACAAACAACCAATAGACTATCAAGTTGAAGGGAAAGATAGAGACTACCAAGATGAATGGGAAAAGAGAGTCCTACTTCCATAAACATCGAAAGAAAAAAAACACTAAACCAAAAGAAGAAAGTAAGATGACATAAGAATAAGAGACTTCAAGGGATACATTAATAATGACAAATGAGTGACTTGGATTGTCCTTTTGTGAACCTATAAAGATTTTAAAGGAGAATCTAAAAATAAAAATGATAATTCTGGAAGATGTTGATACATTTAATAAAAACTGATATAAGCCCTTGAAAATGTTTAGTATGAATGCTGGTGATTTTAGTAAGATCACAAGTATGATGTACTAACTTAAAGAATGTTTTGAACCCAACAAATGGAAACCATATGTTATTCCCAACACATATGATGCAGTTTTGTTTTGTTTTTTACAATGACTACATGCTAGGTCAAAGGAGAAGTCAAGACAGTACCAAGATTTAATATTGTCTTTGTCCACGAAACATTCAAATAAATAATAAATAAAAATTGTTGAAATAGCACAACTTCTAACTGGAAAGATAAAAAAGAATGCTCTAAAATATGACTTATTGGTTAAAAAACAAATTGCAGTGTCATGAAATACTTTAAAACAAAATATTGCCTAGGAAAACTTGCAAATAAGGGCAAAATGGCACTCACAGAATTGTATATCCTTTGATATAACTACTCTTTACAAAGGAGATTGTAGCAAGGTATAGTACTGCAGTATTATAGAATATTATTTTAAGATGTGCTAATTTGTTTATGCTGTGGGACATTTGTTTAATGATGTAAAGACGTGTTGCATTCTTTTATGTTGTACTTGTTTAGCTCTGTGAAACTGTGTTACTTTGCCTGCCTAAAATACCTGATTGGGCTAATAAAGAGATGAACAACCAGCCAATAGTGAGGCAGAAGAAAGGATAGGCGGGGCTGGCAGGCAGAGAGGATAAATAGAAGGAGAAATCTGGGGGGCGGGGCAGGGGAGAGAACAAAAGAACAAGGAAAGGAGGATGCTAGGGACCAACTACTCAGCCACCCAGCCAGCCATGGAGTAAGAATGAAACTAAGATATACAGATGTAAAAAAATGAAAAAATGCCCAGAGGCAAAAGGTAGCTGCGATAATTTAAGAAAAGCTGGCTAGACTCAAGCCAAGCTAAGGCTGAACATTCATAAGTAAGAAGACATCTCTGTCTGTATTTATTTGGGAGCTGGGTGCCGGGGCCCCCCCAAAAGAGCAAAACCAAGCAACAACACTGCAGTCCTGTTGTCTCAGCAATCAGCAAGACAGTGGCAGGAAGATCAGCAGTTTAAGGATAGCCCTGGCTGCATAACAAATTTGAAGCTAACCTGAACTACAGGAGACCTTATCTCAAATAAAACAACGGTGGGTAGGGAGAGATTTGAAAGCAAACAGCTAAATGCTGGCGCTATCCAGCTAGTAAAAGAATTAGAGTAACAAAGCTAAACAAATATAGTAAGAATTCAAAGTCCACCAACTACATTTTTATATTTGAATATTTCCTTTGTAGGAAAAATACAAAACAAATAATGAAAAGATAACAATGTAACACACACTAAATAAATAATTCATAATAAAAATAATGAAAGGTGGAATGTAAATACAGCCAGATGATGATTTGAGAGCAAAATGAACAAGTTTATTCCCTAAATAATCAAAAATAAAAATTGAAACACTTTTAGAAAAAAAATAGCAAAAGTACTTTAAGAAGAAACAAAACCTTGCAACTCCCTCCCCCTTTCTCTTCTTCTTTTTGTTTGTTTGTTTGTTTGTTTGTTTGAGACAGGGTTTCTCTGTGTAGTTTTGGTGCCTGTCCTGATCTCACTCTGTAGACCAGGCTGGTCTTGAACTCACAGAGATCCACCTAACTCTGCCTCCCCGAGTGCTGGGATTAAAGGTGTGCGCCACCACTGCCTGGCCCCCTTCCTCTTCTTACAGAGAGCCCTGCCTCCCCAAGAAAGCTAGAGCCATATGCCTAAAGGAAAGTTTTGCCAAGCACTTCCCACTCATGTGGTGTACTGGTTTTATGTGTCAACTTGACACAAGCTAGAGTCATCAGAAGAAGGAGCCTCAGTTGAGGAAATGCCTTCATGAGCTCCAGCTGTAAGGACTTTGCTCATTTAGTGATCAATGGGGGAGGGCCCAGCCATGGTGGGTGGGGCCATCCCTGGGCTGTTGGTCCTGGGTTCTCTAGAAGGAAGACTGAGCAAGTCAGGGGAAGCAAACAGCACCCTTCAATGGCCTTTGCATCAGCTCCTGCCTCTGGGGTCCTACCCTGTGTGAGTTCCTGTCCTGACTTCCTTCAGTGATGAACAGCAACGCTGAAGTGTAAGCCAAATAAACCCTTTCCTCCCCAACTTGCCTTTTGGTCATGGTGTTTGGTTTCAGAAATAGAAACCCTAGTTAAGACATGTGGCTACTACACTCACCACTTCCAAACCTCCCATATTCAACCACCTTAGGTAGGTGACCAATAAAAGGTAGTTACCAATAAACAACAGACATCATAATTAATGGGAAATTGTAGGAGCACGACAAGGATGCTGGCCAGACAAGGGGACCTCCTGGCCATCAGTTATACTCTGCATTATATTTTTTTTTTGGGGGGGTAGTTTTAATTATCAAAACCTAGTCTCAACTGGGAAGGGAGTCTCAGCGAGGAACAGTCTAAATTAGGTTGGCCCCGACATGCTTCTGAGGGACTTTTTAAACTGAGTTTAAGAAGTTGAGTTAGGAAGGCCGGTCCTGAATATGGGTGTAGTCATTTCATGGGTTGGGCCCCGGATTGAATGACAGAAAAGGAGAGGGCTAGCTGATCTCTGGCGTGCATATATTCTTTCATTCATTGCCTTCTTGACCGTGGAGGTCATGTTATTAGCTGCTAAAGTTCCTGGTGCCTTGACTTCCCAGCAATAATGGACTGTAACTGGAATTGTGAGCCAAATAAACTCTTTCTCCCCTAAGTTACTTCTGTCATGGTATTTTATCACACCAACAGAAAACAAAGGCAAGCTGAGGGATGGTTTAGATCAGTGGTTCTCAACCTTCCTACTGCTGTGACCCTTTAATACAGTTCCTCATGTTGTGGTGACACCGCCCCCCCCCAAAAAAACCCCATACAATTATTTCGTTGCTTCTTCACAACTGTAATTTTGCTACTGTTATGAACTGTAATGCAAACATCTGATATGTGACCCTTGTGAAGGGGCCTTTGAACCCTTGAAGGGTCGCGATGCACAGGTCGAGAACCGCTTGTTGAGCTACTCTGAATGGTAAGCAACTGTTAAAAACAGAACAGGATTAGGAGTAGGGGCATGAGGGGACTCACACCGGTAACCTGTCCCCATACCTCTCCAACCAAACTCCATGGACAACAGACTTGGTAGCCGGGAGCCCCTGCCCCGTCTCTCGTCGGTGGCATCCCTCCGCTTCGTGCGCAGCGGCGAGCCCCGCGGGACGCGGCGTGGAGCTCCCGGCCCCTCCCGTGGATCCCGTGGATCCCCGTGGCCGCCCGCCCGCGCCGCACCCACTTCCTCTTTCCCTTCCGCGCGCGCCAGCCAACCGCTCGCCAAAAAGAAAATTCCTGTCACTTCTGACACAGGAAGCGGGGAAGGCCGCGCCCGAGCGACCAGCGGTGCATCTCGGCCGCGCCCCGGGGACGTTTAAGTGGGCCGCGGGGTCCCGCCTGGGCCTGGGCCTGGGCCTCAGCCCCGCCCGGCCGGGTCCTCCAGCCGGCTCGGCCCTCCCCGCCCGGCCGGGTCCTCCTCGGGCGCGGTGGCGGCCCGCTCCTCCGCCGCCCGCCCGCCATGGAGGTGGAGGAGGCGTTCCAGGCGGTGGGCGAGATGGGCCTCTACCAGATGTACTTGTGCTTCCTGCTGGCCGTGCTGCTGCAGGTGAGTCCCCGGCTCCCCGCGGCCCGCGGGACGCGCTCAGCTCCGGGGGCCCCAGGGATGGCGTGAGAGCCGGGCGGGAGGGGGCGGGCGGGCGGGCGCCGCGCGGTGGCGGGCCAGCCACTTGAGCTCTCCCTGGCTGTCACCCCCCGAGCTTGGCGCTGACACTTAGCTAGTTAAGCGATGAAAAGCATTGCCTGGGGTCTGCTGCAGAAAATGAAAGGGAGTCGGTACCCTAACCCGTGGCTCTATCACCCTGCAGTCTAAGACGGAGATGGCGCGGACCCACAAAAGGTGGGAGCTCCGAGGCCCTCTCTGAGCTCGAGGGGACTTCCTATGAAGGGGGCTTTCCATGCACGGGATTTATTTCTCTGTGGTTTAAAGTTCTACTGGGTCATTCAGCCCTGAGGCCAGCTTCGGTCTGATGGTACAGGGAAATAATACCATCTGTAGAGTGTAGTTTATTATATAGAATTCCCAGAACCCATTTGCACACCTCAACCTAAAACTCGTGATTCTAGGGTGCCTTAGAGGTTCACTCTTGTAATCACAGCGCTATGGAAACTGAGGCAGGAGAAGGATGCCTCTCCTTTCAGGCATATTCAAGGCCAGCCTGAGCTTCTTAGTTCCCGGGATGCAGGTCAGTGGTAAAGCCTTAGCATGTGCAAGCCTCTGGGTTTGATCACTAGCACCAGGGCTGGAAGGTGAAGCTAGCTCCCTGCCCAGGAGGCATGCATTCCTGGGATGAAGTGAGGTGTGATGAGGCAGACAGACTGACAGCTAAGCCAGTAGTTAAGGTGTGATGGTGTTATTCCAGGGGAAGTACTGGCTGGACAAGGATGTAGCCAGAGCCCACAAGATGCTTCAACGATGCAAAGATGTCCCTGCAGGACCGGAGGCAGTGAGGTCAAAGTTGACTTATTGATTCTCTTTTCCGGTTAAACCTTCAAAAATTCAGTTGATTTCACCACCAGCCAGAAAAATGGTTCCAGTGGTGATATATGGAAAACATTCTCTTAACAGAATAAAAATTAGTTAATTCAGAGAAATAGAATTGTAACTGTGATATCTGATCTTTGTATAATAGTTTCTTTGACAGTAGTAGTCTGTCTAGCCAGGAATTCCAAGTATATAATTCCTCTCCAGGCAGACCTTTCTAGCCCCCTCTCTCTCCCCATTCCACTTCCTGTGCTAGCATCTTCTTACTTACTTAGCCAGGTGTCCACCAACTTAGAATAAATCTTTCTTGAGTATGGTACTGAAAAGACAGTATTCTGGGTCCTGACCTGTGAACTTTCCTGTACTTTTTATTCCCCCACTGCCAGCTGGAGATCCAACCCTAGAGCCATGTGCTTTTTACACAAGAGCTTTACAGCTGATCTACAGCCCACCCCAGGCCTCCCATACTTTTGTTAATGACTGAGGTAGGTCACTGTAGTTTGTTAAGGAAGAGTTCCAAGCCCCTGATCTTGATGGCTCATTAACCCTTGATTGACGTACAGTCGGTATTTACCAGGTTTTAGAGGGTTATTGGCAGTGGGTGATTGTTTGCCTTGTAGGTGTGGGCTGCTGTCTCTGTCACCCTGTTCCTTCCTCCAGCTGGGATGAAGTCCTTGCTATAAGCAAGTGATGAGGGTCACACCATGAGCATTACTGAAGACCTTACTGTATCATAGTGTAAGGCCAGCCTGAAGACCTTACTGTATCATAGTGTAAGGCCAGCCTGAAGACCTTACTGTATCATAGTGTAAGGCCAGCCTGAAGACCTTACTGTATCATAGTCTAAGGCCAGCCTGAAGACCTTACTGTATCATAGTCTAAGGCCAGCCTGAAGACCTTAACTGTATCATAGTCTAAGGCCAGCCGGCAGCACCACAGGGGTTCAGCCATGAGGAGAATCTGTGCATATCTAGGGGGGTCAGCCATAAAGAGAACCTGTTTGTATCTAGTAAGTTTCTAATGGTGAAAACATAATGACTAGTCAGCAGGGTTCTCTGTGAGTTGGAGTAAGTTTTATGCTGCTCCTGGGCTTGAGCTTGGTTGAGCCTTCTATTAGTCTGGGTTCTCTAGAGGAACATAACATATATATGTGTGTGTGTGTATACATACATATGTATAGATATATACATATGTATGTATACACACACACACACACACACACACACACACACACACACACACGATTTATTAGAATAGCTTACAGGCTGTGGTCCAGCTAGTCCAACAATGGCTCTCTACAAACAGAAGGTCCAAGAATCCAGTTGCCTTCCAAGAATCCAGTTGCCTTCCAAGAATCCAGTTGTTCAGTTCCTGAGGCTGAACATCTGGTCATCAGAATCTTAAATAGGCTCTAATGCCAGTAACGGAATGGACTTGCCAGCAAAAACAAGAGCAAGCAAACAATGAGCAAAAGATTTCTTCTTTCCTGTCCTTTACATAGGCTGTCCACAGAAAGTGTGGCCCAGATCAAAGGTGGATCTTCCCACTTCAAAAGATCTGGATTAAAAGAGGCCCTTCCCACTTTAAATGATTTAATTAAGAAAAAAAAAAATCCCTCACCGGTGTACCCAGACACTTGGGTTTTAGTTAATTCCGGCTGTAGTCAAGTTGACAACCAAGGACAGCCATCACAGGCCTCATGAGGGTTATGATGAACTGGAGACTTTTGGCTGATGGTTTATACCAGCTGTAGTGGGCGGGGCCCTGAGCCACACTGGCCTCAGTTACATTCTCAGGAACAATGGTTACCTTGGACTGCCCACGTGTGTAACACAGATAAAGTTGCAAGTCCTTTAGGTACTTTCCTCATGGGGAGGCTGTGGCCATACAAGAGACTCCAGGCAGTATAGAGGGCTTCTTAGGGTCTGGAATATTTCAGAAAGTGAAGTGTGGTTTGGAAAGCGTCTAGTCTGATGCCTTCACAGATCCCAATGGCATGCCTGGCAAGGCCACCCACAGCTCTTGACAGTGTGGTGTCACCTTCCAGGGAAGCACAAAAGAAGTCATTACAAATGTGAAAGCAGATGATGTGAATAGAGTAGACAGAACTCTGGTCCAGGCACCACCTCACTGCTGCAGAATGGTTGAGTGAGCTTATGCAAATGACCTCTCAGTCCTTGCGAGCCTTTGGAGGTGGCTGGTCAGGAAAGCTTGTTTTGCAGATTTAGAGGTTTTTTTTTTTTTTTTTTTTCCTAGTTTTTAACATTCAATACTTTATCTAATCAGCATGACTATGAGGCCAGCATAGACTGAACGATTAAATAAGCATTTATAGCTATCCCTGTGGATTCCAGTTTGAAGGTTTTCTTAAAGTTGCCCCTTACCTAGTAGTAATAATTGGCATAAATAAATAGACCTGGTGGTTTTTAGAACATTAGATTGTGTCCTTACCACAGTTGGAAGCTATTTTATGACCAATAGGTAATCAAACTGAAAGGCACACAGGTTGGTAATCTTCTCTCTGGTTTCCTTGACCAATGTTCAGACAAACCAATGTCTGCATTCTCGATAATTGTGGGCATGCCACAGATAGTATTTGATGGTCATAGGGGGAAAAGAGAGAGTGTAGAGAAAAGAAAGAAAAGCAAAACAGTTCTTCAGAGTGTACTAGGAGCACATTTTGGTGTATATCCTTCCAGAACTTTCATTAAGTAAATATGCACATAGCCCTTCTTTTGCAGAAATGTATATTACCACTAAGTTTTGTCTCTTGGTGATGTTTAGACGCCTTGCTAGTGTTGAGAGGTAACTCCACCAGAGAACACACACGGACACTCTTCAAACCCAATAGAAAGTCTGTTTGCCTGCCAGCAGCTGCACGGGGAACTTGCCCAAATCATGAAGCCTCAAGCCTCACTGTCCCTTGTCTTTTATTCACAAACATCACATCCTAGTTGACATACTTTGGTTACCAAGAACAGTTAGCAAGATGCCAAACTACAGAAGCCAAAAGGCAAGGTTAGGATAGTTAGGGACTTTACTGGATCCTGGAACTACGGACTAGGTCTTTGATGGATTTGGTTTTTCCTGTTTTGGCAGGTGTTGGGGCCTATGTGCTGGGTTCTAAGGTAAGAATGATGCTTTCAACATGGCATCAGTTGTGCTGAGGTTGGGGACCTGTTACGATAGTCACAAATCAATAGCTTCACGTAGCTCGAATCCTAATTGTTCTTAATAACAAAAACCTGGAGCCAGATATTGGGGTAAATGCTGAAAGATCAGAGAGACAAAGGAGCCAGCCACAGCCACTTCTTACCTTGCCAACTCCTCAACCTGAAAGGAGCCCCAGCTCCTGTCTCCACCCCTCATTATCACTGCTCTCTGCCTAGCCATGTCACTTCCTATTTCCTTCTCTCAAGTGCTGGGATTAAAGGTGTGTGCCACCAAGGCCTGGCTTCTATTGTTAACTAGTGGCTAGCTCTGCCCTCTGATCTCCAGGCAAGCTTTATTTGTTAGAGCATAAACAAAATATCACCAGAGCTTCGTATTTTATTTTTCACAGCTGCAGCATAAGGTCCTTGTTAATGTCCATACCGTAGCTTGTTTATCAGTTTCTCATTTTCAGTTCAGAACCACACACTGTGGTGCTGGGCTCTTCTTTGTTCTGGCCTTCACCTCTTGCCTGTTGATTGACACTTCCCTTCTCAAACAGGGAGAAGACATTACCTAATAACACTTTTATTTCACTGTATTTGTTATTCATTCTATTTAAAAATTTTTAAAATAATTTTAAAGCACTTCAAATAATGTAGAGAATAATTCACAAGCCCACATGCACTTATTTTCAGGTTGAATAGTACTAATATTTTTTCCATATTTGTTTAAGATTGTGTTATAGTTTAGCTTGTAAGGCGGGACAAATAACACCTAGGATGTGAGATTATGCATATAACTAATGAATAGCTGCATTGTTGAGATCTGACCATGCATTGTTCCAGGAGCTGGTATGTGTGATATTGGGGCTCAGACTTGGCAGGGCAGGCTGTTGGGAAGGCAGGGTATGT